AGAAAGCTATTGTCAGAGTCAACGTGACCAGGACCCACCGTCAAACCATTCAGTATATAAGACCGGAAGATGCCCACGTCCTAGGACAATGCGAGTTGCTAGTGATTGATGAAGCCGCAGCGATTCCACTGCCATTGGTGAAGAAACTCATTGGTAGTTATCTTGTGTTTATGGCCTCGACAGTCAATGGATATGAGGGTACTGGCAGATCACTCTCATTGAAACTCATAAAACAATTGCGAGAACAGTCAAGAGCAGGCGCGATTGCAACGGATACCGAAACAGTTGACCGGTCAACTGGCAAAACTTCCAAAAGCTCTACCGACGATCATCTCCCGGGCACACGTTCTCTACGCGAGATCACACTTGAAGAACCAATCAGGTACTCCAAAGGAGATGGTGTCGAGAAATGGCTGAACAATCTCCTTGTGTTGGATGCGCCCCAAACGACTAGGCTATCTGGAGGCTTTCCTGATCCAGCGACTTGCCACCTTCTAAAAATCAACCGAGACACGCTTTTCAGCTTCCATCCTGTCGCCGAGAAGTTCCTTCAAAAGCTTGTGCAACTTTTTGTGGCAAGCCACTACAAGAACACCCCCGACGACCTGCAGTTGCTCAGTGATGCTCCTTCACACGAACTCTACGTTCTATGTGCACCTCTAGATCCTAATTCGAATCGCCTCCCAGAACCCCTCTGTGCGATCCAGGTGGCTCTCGAAGGACAAATTTCCCGTCAGAGTGTGCTCAATAGTCTCAGCCGTGGATCCAGGCCCGCCGGTGACCTGATTCCTTGGTTGGTGAGTCAACAGTTTCAGGATGACGAGTTTGCCTCGTTAAGTGGTGCTCGTGTCGTTCGAATCGCAACCACTCCGGAATTCACATCGAAGGGATATGGTGCCAAAGCTCTCTCGGACTTGATCTCATTTTACGAAGGAAAATTCGCTAGCCTCTCTGAGGGCGAACTCGAGGATGAAACCAAGCTAGTCCGAGTAACAGATGCAGAACTAGAGAATGGTACCTTGAAAGATGAGATTAGCGTTCGCGACATCGCCACTTTACCACCCCTCTTTTCTAAGCTTTCTGAGTGTCGGCCCAGCACCATAGAATATATAGGCGTTAGTTACGGCCTCACACAGCCTTTACACAAATTTTGGCGGAAAAGTAAGTCTTTACACTGGCAATACTTTTACACCGCACATTGCGACTTTCGAGAGCAAGCATTGCGCCATGATGCTCTCATTCCTTCTTGCACCCTATTAAGATCCCTGGAATTAAATTGGAACAATTTTGCTAACTTGCTACCTGCTTGTAGATAAATTTTCACCCGTCTACCTTAGACAAACACCAAATGACCGTAAGTGATCTTCTAAGACTACATTGCCCTTACGAACCTAGAAAGACAACTGCCGAATGTTCGGGATCGAGCATCTATCTGCTATTGGAGATTAAACCAGACTATCCATTGGAACTACGGCCACTGACCTTCGCTTTAGTCACCGGTGAACATACATGTGTTATGTTGCGACCCCTGGAGTCAAGTGACAAAACATGGTTAGGATCATACGCCAACGATTTCCACAGCCGGTTTCTCTCACTGTTATCCTACCGATTCCGAACTTTTGACTCGGTGACGGCACTTAGTATCAGCGAAAGTGCCGGTTCAGGGGCTCGACTTGACGAATCATACGCCCCTGCCCCATTTACAAAGGAGACTCTAGATCAGATCCTCACGCCATTTGATTTGAAGCGATTGGCAGCATATGCTAACAACCTTTTGGATTACCACGTTATATGTGAGTATATATGCACTTCTACCCTCACCGGCCTATTCAAGAATCTAGATGTTTTGTCTCGACTTGTTATCTGTTTTAGGGGTCGTATCTACTTAGACTTCCTGGCAATTTCGCTGTGATAAGTAAAAGGAACATGCAGATAGCTAACCTGTTATAGTGGATTTGATGCCCCGCATGTCACAACCTTACTTCCAAGGTCGCTTGAATGAAATTCATTTGACAGGTATTCAGAAGGCTATGCTCATTGCGGTGTCAATGCAACGAAAAGACCTGGATGGTGTTGCGGCCGACCTGACAATACCTATTTCTCAAACCTTGGCCATGTTCATCAAAATCGTCAAGAAATTTGTCGCACACTTTGAAGGGCTAGTTTCAGGTGCCGTCGAAGCTACTCTACCCAAAGACACCATTGGTGTCAGTGTCGCCAATGCCAGCGGCATGCACGATGATGAGATTGTAGATACACGGTTCAACCCCCTTGAACAGTCATTGGATGACGAGCTAGAAGAGGGTGGTGATGAAGCTTTGAAAGAGATACGGCAGAAGCAACGGGAGTTGATCGACTCCTTACCGCTGGATCAGTAAGTTTTTATGTTCCCCAAAACGCGACATTGCGACAATAAACTGATAAGGCGTAAGGTATGAGGTAGAAGGCGATACTCCCGCATGGGATGATGCTGAAAAGCAAGTACGAAATGCGGCCAAGCGTGGCCAAGCCAACCCGGTTGTTAGTATTAAATCCAGCAAGGCAAAGAGAAAGGTAGGCTCCACAGCCGCTGAAGTCTACGAAGAAGCATTTGGGGAGAAGCCACATAAGAAAGCAAAGAAGGCGAAGAAAAGCCACTGAAACCGAGCCCATAGAGGATTGGATGTACAGAAAATGCATAATCTGGTGTTAAGGCGTCATAAAAGGCGGCCATGTTTCAATTCGGTATATTCGATGATACCATATTTGAATTATATGTCTTCCCTCAACTGGGATGCCCTACTTTTGCCAGCTATAGTCTCAATGCATAGCGACAATTGATGTGACCACTTAGCCGCATTTCTCGACTCTGCGACCCAATATCTTACTAATGTCTGAAGATTGCCGACTACTGAACCGAAAACAGTCGCCCCTCTCCTTAGCCGATTGTGTATTCAGCCGAAACGGCCACGTCCGTGGGGCACGATATTACGTACGCTCCCATAGACTACTCAGGCTCAAGGAAATGAATAGCCAGGTATCTCTTCGCCATATTAGGACATGCTTCACCATTATCTGAGTCCTGATGGTCAAAGCCTTCGTAATCTTGGATTGACACGCGGCCTCCAATATACAACCCTTGGATAACGGCTTGGACCGTAGTACTCTCACCCACAGACGAATGCATTTCGCGGTCTACTTTGATGAGGTTCAATTTATTGCTTGTTTGGTTACCGCGTAGAGAAAATGTAACGTTAGAAAGGAACGATGCGCCGTCAACGCCTGGGGGAGATGGTGGGAGATGTGTATAATATCTCCCCCAAGTCGCAAGTATTCGAAAGGCAAGAGGTTACAGACTCAGGCATGAATACATTTCTACCATGATTGCTGTATTCGTTCTCGCCCTAAGCGCCTTTTCGCTTGTCTCTGTCCAAGCTGGCCAAGCCCCTTATGAGAGGAAGCATGCAGCATGTGTCGTTAAGTCGATCCGCAAATCATGGTCAGTAATATTTATTAGCTAAAATGTCCGAAATACTAACTTGAGGACCACAGGACAGATTTAACTGCGGCTGAGAAGCAAAACTATATCGATGCAGACCTATGTCTCATGTCTACACCTCCTAAGAGCGGGATCAAGGGGGCTACATCTCGCTGGGACGAGCTACAGTACGCGCACGCAGCACAGGCACGATATGTCCACAATGTGGTGCGTCTAAGTTTTATGCTTGCCATTATCTCAATCCGCCTAACCGTTTACAGGGCGCCTTTTTGCCCTTCCACCGCTACTTTGTCACTGTGCACGAGCACCTGTTGAGGGCCGAGTGTAACTATGCAGGACCTCTACCGTAAGAGCGTGGTGCATCCATGACGATGAATGATAGCTGACAGTAGTAGATACTGGGATGAGCCTCTCGATGTTGGCAATATCGGAAGATCATCGCTATTCACCGGAGAGCCGAGCTTCGGTGGCAACGGTACTGGACGCGATAACTGCATCGCGGATGGGCCCTTTGTCAACGTCACACTTCACTTCAAGGAAGACCTCAATACGACCAACTACTGCATCTCGAGATTGCTCAACGACGTCGCCTTCTCGGCTGCCGCTCGCGCTAATGTCAGAACTTGCCTCGAACATGATCGCTTCGGGGATGCGTGGAAATGCCTTGAGGCCAAACCACACAGCGCCGGTCACGGTGGCGTCCTAGGAACAGTATGCACTTCCCCTCAGAGTAATACCCGTCAACGGAAATTCCAAACAGTGCGCTAACATGCACTCCCAGATGATAAATCTACTATTGTCACCCGGTGATCCCGTCTTCTATCTCCATCACGGATACCTAGATCGTCTATGGTGGGACTGGCAATCCCGCAACCTAACAACGCGACTGTTCGAGATCGCGGGCAACAATACGCCGACGTTTAACTTCCCGCCCGACGGCTTCAATTTCACGGGCCCGCCCCCGTTCGGCGGCAATGGCACGGGCGTACCGCCTTTCGGGGGCGGCGGCGGCGGAGGAGGAGGAGGGGGGGGAGGCTTCGCGATGCCGCCGGCGAACAAGGCTTTTGAGGATTACTTCAACGACGGCGGAAACGCCACCACGCTGAACCACACGCTCTGGTCCGCCGGCATCATGGAAAACGTCACCATCGCAGACGTCATGAACCCCGAGGAAGGGTTCGTTTGTGCCGATTACCTCTTGTAATACCTACCAGTCGTAGACATGTCGTGCGATTAGCCTCCCTAGGTCTAAATTCGATCTGTCTCACTTTCGAGAGACCTGCTGAGTCCCCGATCGTACCTAGGAGGAGGTAACATGTACCATTAGAGGGATCCAGAGCTTCGGGACTGGGGTCTCACCACAATGAGACACCGTATCTTCAAGAGTGGAGGCGCCTACTTTCCTTAAACCTCAATCAAGTCTCTTCCGAAGTGTAAGAGTACGTACGATACGTCCGTACACTCAATTTTATACCTACTTTACCTCACCAACCGTTGTTTCACATCACGTGACAGATTATCTGCCCGCTTGGCTAAGTGGTATAGCGTGTCACTAGTATGGATTCACTATCTAGATGTCATGACAAGATCAGCGGTTCGATTCCGCTAGTGGGCATTTATTTTTCCTCTCTAGTTCGCCTTTTTGGAAGACTGACATTTGGTATCGAAAGATAAGTAAATAGATAGGTGGGTGTGTAAAAAGTAAGTAAGTAGTAGTAAGTGTTTGTCTTGTCTATCTTTTACATATACTTAGTTATTTATGCTTTATTCTTTTTTAAACTACCCCTGTCATGTCTTAATTCACCCGTAGCACTGGAAACCGCTGCCTGGATTCATGATGGATCTCCCTGTGCCAATTCGTTCGGAAGTCATATCGTCCACTAAAAGGGTTGGCGTAGTTTCTTTTCTGAGTAGATGGTTTTATAAGTTTGTCTAAGTTGTTGTTTGTTTAAGGACTGTTCTACAACTGACATCGTTCGTTTTAGAGATCGTAAATAAGGTTACCAATTAAAATAGTATTAACTAGGTTGAGTAATAGCAAGTTTACTATTGACAACAGGCGTGTTTCACTTTATTTGATCCCGATTTTCCCAAGTGTATACAGTACTGTTCGATTCGCCACGCTATTAAAACAGATACCCTCGTTTAAATCGTACCGATATTCTACATACAACAATCTGTCCTCTGACGCCGAACTTCTGAAAGCAAGCTATATGCGTAGAAGAATCGTCGCCACGAGCTTCAGATATGGTTTTCAATGGTGATGAGAGATCAGGCCAAAAACACCAACAGCCACAGTAAGAGTAACAGATATACAGGTGGCCGTGCATCCACGAAGGACGGCGCTGCATTGAGCAAATCGGACGGGGCGTGCATCAACATCACTCCCGGGACGTAAGTTACCGCAGCTGCGAGATAGCCGTCGACAGTCGCCGTTGTCGGCACAATCTCCCGTACTTCGGTGACTGAGACGACCGCAGTGATGGACCATTTCGGCGACGGTATCGACGCGAGTATTGTTGTGGCAGAGATGGTGGTGATGTCCTCCTCTGGTGTCTGATAGATACAGACTTCAGTTTGATAATCGGTACTTGTTGAAGACGTTAATGTTTTGGATGCCATTGTCGAATAACATCCACCATTTACATCGCCGGTGAACCCGCTAGGTAGGAGCAAGGGAAATAGTGTCAGCAAAGCATCATCCGCGACGACAACGAAATCGAGCGGTTGCTAGTGTACAAGTAATAAGTAAGCAACCGGATCTGGGGCCGCTCACCTGGGACAGCACATTATAAGCGTATTGGTAGGCGCCGGTATATTCGGGTAGTCGGTGTTCCCAACGAGAGCGCCCGCGGCGGTTACATTTTGCATGTCGGAGGCACTAGTTTTACGCGGCACAATGCTTCCAACCCCGGTCCAAGATTCGGGACAGTATATGCCAGGGGAGTAGTAGTGTATCCCCGGAGTCCTCGTCTTATAAAGGTCCTTGTTGTCGGAGTACCACTGGCCAGCGGAAGGATAGCATGAGTCGTCGTAGGACTGAATGGAACAGGTCGGGTATGCGTCCGTTTCGAAGCTAATAGTCTTATCCCCGTTCAAGTCTTCGATATTCAAATCAGATGCTGTTTTCCTCTGGTATATTTTGAGAATTCACAATGTAGGACCAGGCCAAATGGAACGCGTTGCGTCTTGAAAATAAAATTCAACCGGATTAGATCGGCTGCTGGAATTTACTCACAGCCAAATAGTATCGTGTTGCTTGAAGTTGTGCACGACGCAGCGGGCGTAAATGTCGTGGTCAGGGCCCGTAGTTCGATACGGTGCGTGTAGGATACGCCGTGATAACCGCGGTGCCAGTATATGTGATAGTCATTTTGTTGAATAGCGATTGTTCAATCACATATAAATTGCCTGGAGGTTAGTTCTCGCTGCGCGTAATACGCTGAACTTTTTTGCCCCTAAATTATCCAAAAAATGAAGCGGTTGAGAGTTACCGTGTCGCGCTCCATTGATCAATACTAGGTATTCATGTAGATGCCCGATACAAATATGTGGCGCAGCACTTAGATACCCTGTCCCGTAGGACTCCATGCCAATTCTCATGATATCTTGGCGGTTATTTCCATGAGATGGATGTGCAATTGGCCGCTTTACGTCCACCTTAAAGCTTCACTATATTTGCGTTACTCTGTTACCATTGCATCCAAATAATAGTAGTAATCATAATAATAATAATATTATTAATCCTCTTTTCATTTACTGTGCCATCCATGTCCATTTGTGTCTTCCCCAGGCAAGCGTGGGTCAATTCGTTATTACCAGACTTGAGAACTTGGGAACCAGCCCAATCATCCAATCAGTCTCGGCAAGGTCGCGAGTTCAGAATATTAGATTACTCCGGCATTGAACAGCCAATGAGATTCCCCCAATCCTTCAATTTAGCGCAATAGGTCCGTCATGCCGTGCGGGTATGCTTTTCCTCCGGTCCTCTCAATCCCCAATCCCCGGCCCGCGAACAACAATCGGCAAAACACATTTCCGGATTCGTGCCGGTTAAGACCCGAGACGAACAGCAGTTAGATGCGGAGTTCCCTCGCTTTCCTTTTCTATAATTATAATCCATCCAAATTTTCCGAGATGCAGAGTCAATTATGCACCATCACAATGATATCTGCGAGTCCGCAACTACAGCAGACAATCCACCATGTTATCTACCCTGACAGGGATCGCTTCGCAGACCGGGGTTCGGAAACGCCCCGTCAGCATCGCCATCATAGGCTTCGGGGGCCTTATCGGGCGTCGGCACACCGCCCACGTGCTCTCGAACGCCTCCGCCGACCTCATAGCCGTCGTCGACGGTGCGCCGTCCGCGGCTGAATTGGCTGCTCAGCTAGCCCCTGGTGTGCCCTACTACCCAAGTGTAACTGACATGCTCTCGGCCTGCGCCGCGAATAACTCGACTCCAGAAGCCGCGATTGTGTGCACTCCCAACGCATACCACGTGCCCGTGGCGCTGGAGCTCGCCGAGGCGGGCGTACACCTGCTCGTTGAGAAGCCGCTTGCCGACACCAAAGCGGCTGCTCGCACACTTGTTGACCGCGCACGTGAACTGGGCGTCAAGTTGCTCGTGGGCCATCACCGGCGGTTCAACCCGTATGTGGTCGCTGCTCAGAAGGTGCTCAAGGCATCACAAGGAGTGCCAAGCGTAATAGGAGAGCCGGGTATAGGAACAGTGACAGCGGTCTCCGGGCTATGGACGGCGTATAAGCCGGACGACTACTTTGCCGCCGGGGCTTGGCGACGTAGTAGAAAACAGGGCGGCGGGCCCGTCATGATTAATCTTGTGCACGAGGTCGATATTCTGCAGTATTTATTAGGGCCTATTGTGCGAGTGAGTGCGGAGAAAGCGCTTGGGAGATATACCGCTGAAGCAGGCAATTCAGATGCCGTGGAGGACGGCGCGGCATTGACCCTACGTTTCGCGTCGGGTGCCGTGGGGAGCTTCATTATATCAGATGGGGTCGTCTCGCCACATTTCTTTGAGGCGGGCACGGGTGAGAACCCCATGATGCCTCGAGCAAGTCGGCCGCATTCCCATTGTCTTGATGAGAGTGATAAAACTCGTGCCGAGCACGGCGGACAGACAGTAAAAGGGGAACCTATCGACGTCTATCGTATTTTCGGCACCCATGGCACGCTTAGCGTCCCCGACATGACTCTCTGGACATACGGGGAGAACCCGCGAAGCTGGGCGAATGACCTTACTGTCCGACGTATTGAGTTAGACAATGATCCTCGTGTTCCCTTTGATCGCCAGCTCGACCACCTTATCGCCATTATCAGAGGGGAGACCCCGATTGAGAACGGACCCGGGTGTACGGGTGAAGAGGGGCTTGGGGTCATCGCGGTATGTGAGGCCGTCATAGGGGCCTTGGATGATGCACAAGGCGGTAGAGTCATCGTCGATACTACTTGAAATATCTCAAGTTGACGATGCTCTCGTTCGGGAGCACAGCTAATTGTTTATCTTCTTGCATCTTGGCCTATCTCATGACTCCAATTGTCTCTGCTTCGGTTTCCTATTTTTTCTCCATGTTGGAGTAGAGTTCAAGATTATTCAATTCCAGGCCTTTGGGTGGGAATAGTAACATGAATCAAACTCTACAAATTAAAGTAAGGATATCATCAACTGAAACAGATGATGAAATACTGTGGCACTTGAAAGTGGCTGTGGTGGCTGTGTGCCCACAAAGGTGCTATCGCACCTATAATAATCCCCACACGCTAGATAATATTCGTAGGCCTCCACTCCGAATACAACCTCTTTTTCTGGCCACTCAGTCTGCTACACTCCAACCCTTGCCCATCAATACCCTGTTACCTGGGTACCTCATTTGTGAGCTCTACCAGGGGCTACCGAGGTAAGCTACTGAGATAAGCTACCGAGGTAGGCTAGGAGAGGCTACCTACCTAGGTACCTGACTTGGCCACTGGCCCCCGCGTAAGGTCATATTAATATCCAGGCAGCCTGCATATGTATAACGACGGGTAGTTGCTGTAGAAGCCTCCAACAATGTAATTTGCCTTCTGGTCCGTGCCCCGAACGGCTAGGTTTTGTACGTGTTCCTACGACTACGAACATAGGGCGAGATTAATATTAGGCGACTATCTCGACGCTCATCCTAAGTGAACATAACATCTGCTTATATATCCAAGCTTTCACTGAGGTCCTGGTAACTGAAAGCTGCTGGCAAGTACTGCGAGGCTAGTTTGAAGAGTTCTTCTGTATGTCTTCATAGTCTTGTCGAATAGGACTCGAGTAGCGGTATACGGTATCAATCTAACCTAGCCGTAGAGACTGAGCATGGAACCCTCGAGTATTGACGCCTCCATGCGGGGGTTGCATAGCTGGACGAGCAGATTAATCATTCGGCCAATCAAGCATCTTCATACTGTGATACAACGATGCGCCCCTCAATATAGCCCGCGGTTGAAGGTTTACGACAGGTCTTACTTCCTCTGGGAGAACCAGTTCTCTCATCCCCCGATGAAATTCTTCGCCGCCCTCTCTCGTAAAACCCCTAATTACACTAAGCATAATTTGAACCAGTGGTG